TTTTGTTGTTGTTGTTGCTGTTTTGAAGAGACGAGGTCTCCCTATGTTGCCCAGGTTGCACTCGTGCCTTCTTACCACGGCCCCTCTCCTCTCGTCGGTGCCACTGGCGCACTGTCCCCAGGGTCCGGGCCGCCCTGGCCCGCAGTGAGTAAGGGACCCACAGGCTGCGGCCTGGGCCTGTTTAACATTTCCCTCCACAGGCCGGGACTGTCTTCCCCAAAGTGTCCATCACGACAGGTGTTTGCACTTGTCTGCAAAAAACTCCCACCAATTTGTGTTTGGAGGAGCTGAGTTTTGAGTTCTGGGTGTGGAGCTCTGAAAGCTTTTCGAGCCCCCAGGCCGGAGGCTTGGTGTTATACTGTGTCCCTGGGAATCATCTCACACCTGGGTTCATAAAGCAGGAAGGCTGCAGGTGGGAAATGCGTTCCTTCTCAAGCACTGAAAATCAGACGCGTTCCAGTGCTGCCAACGGTGTCACAGAGGTAGATAGAGGGGGCCCCTGACATAGAATTCCATGCGGGACAGCTTCCCAAGAACCACAAACTCCAGCCTCCTAAAGCAAAGATCTCTTTCTCGCTCTCATGAAGCCCCATGGGGCTTGAGAGAAGGCTGCTCAAGGGGGGACTTAATGAGACAGGAAAAAGGTGAACTTTTATATTATTTCTTCAGAAGAACTCACTGCAGGCATCGGCAATGCTTGAACCCTGGGAGAACATGTGTTTTCACTCTGGGGAAAGCCTGTGAGAGATGGGACGGCTCCTGCAGTGACTTCTCAAACTGCTTCTGTTAGGAAAAAAGGTCTTCCTCCTTATTATATCCAAGATAACAAAAAGTGTGATTTTGAATACCGGCTTAGGGAGTCTGTCAATGAAAACAACCCACTGCAGAACTAGTGGTTTAAACTTAAGGCCACTTTTATTATTTTAGAAAATGTTTACTCCCAGTTACAGTGTAATCCAGGAAAGACACTGTGATGGCACAAAAATTAAGTTTTAGTAAGAGTTTTGCAAATATATGAGCTAAATGAACATTTACACATCAAACAGCTTCAAATATGGTACTTTCTGGAAACAGTTTGTTGCTCTGAGTGTTATTCAAATCCCTAACTTGTTTGCCTTGTTATGATGTTCTGTAATGTAAAGGGGAAAAAATCTTTTGGTCAGAAACCTTAGAGTGAGTCAACCCAAGATTTGCACTGTAATATAAAATTAGGAAGAAAAGTGCCTTGCCTGACCTTAAATGTACAATATCCATATGTTACATTAAAGGTTATGTAGGATATCCTCAATTTGTGGGAGTGGCACGTGGTGATGGTGGCAGGACTCTATAATCTTTGGAAAATGTATTTACTCTCTTAAATCATGCAGTACTCTCTATAAGTATTTATTTTGGTGGAGATTCATGAATTAGTGTTACAAATATCAGAAGTTCAAAAAATTCAGAGAAAAGGACTTTATTCAGTAATACAAAATAATTAAAGTGTTAATAATACTTTTTAAAAAGCCTAAAGTGAAAGGAGACCTAAACCCTAGTGGGTTAATTTTTTGTAAACTGATGTTTAAATGATATTCATAGTTATTATTCTAGGTATTGTTGTGTAGGAATTCTATGATCTATCCACTTACTTGTCCAGAGTTGAAGAAATCCAGGATAAATGAGAGAGATGCTGTCTTGCTATTTTTCTTTTGTAAATTTAAGGATTTCTTGGTGTCAATTTTATTAAAAAATACAAGAATAACTCAGTAAAAGTTTAAAAAGGAGAAAGTGAGTGATAATATAAGAAATAGTTTTAGAATTTAAAAAATGAATTTTGGTACTGTAACTATAGTGATCTTTAACATTTTATAAAAACAGGGATCTAAGAAGTAATTGTATACAGCAGCTTAAAAACCATGTATGTAAATATAATACTCAAATGCTATAGGTACAGCATTTGAGTTTTAAAATAGGCTTAGAGATTTTTTAAAACTTTCTAATAAATCAAGAGTGAAATAGTTTCAGTAAAATTTCCAGGCTAGAAAAAAAAAGGGTCTGGAATCTTGCCCACGGAGAGAGGCAATTTCTATTTTTATTGCACGTTTCAATGTCTTAAAGGACTAGTTGAGTAGAGAACAATTTCACACTGCCCGAGAGAGAAAGACCCAGCCTTTAGAATCATGGATACCTCAAAGAGAAAAAGGATGTAAGACGTGCTTTCATTTCTTACATGAACTGAAATCAGTATGCTAACCTGAAAAAACACCACAGGCACTGTTCTATTGCAAAACTTCACTTCTTTATAGATTAGTGATTTTCAAGTCGGTGAATCTAAGTCTAGACTCCTGTCCACTCTCAATGGGCCCACTAGACTATAGTCAATTGTACAGTACTGGCATTTCCATAAACATATTTTGACTAAATTCAATTTTAAAATGTAAAAACTAAATACAATTTGAGTTCTCATGCTCATCTCCAACCCCACTCAAAATCAAATTGTGGGTAAACAAGAAGCTTGTTACTGTTATGAACATTTATTACGGTAGAATTTAAAGAACCAAGTATTCACATCCACTGGTACTTGAGCTGTACTTATATGCTCTTGGAGGATTGCTATTGCATTTTCTAAAATGGCCAAAGCTTTTTATCAGAATGCCTCCCACACTAGGATCTTCTAGCAGGCCTTTATCACTCACGAGAACTAAGTCCTGCTGCCCTAGGCCTATGGCATACACTGCATGTAATGAGTTAACTTCGGAGGGAAGTTATGCATCTAGAATGGCTGTAGTTATGCACCAGCCTGGAAAGAAGTGAGAAAGTCACTCGCAGTTTTCCAAAGGGCTAATTTCTCTCTTTCTCAATCTGGTTGAGAAAGCCTGCGAGGAGCTGTACGGAAAAGTTAGCATTTTTCAAGCCTAGGAGCCTGCCCAGTGAATCCTACAGCAAGCAGAATGTACTAATAAATTCTTTGTGTTTGACTCTGACACGAAAAACTAGCTGCATGCAGGAATCTGAGACTTGGAAATTGCATTCCTTTCATCAGATTGTTAGTGGAGCACCCTTTATGATAGAAAACAGAAAGTATGTCTGGAGTGTGGTCACAAATGCACCATCGAGAAGTTAATTTATAAAAAGAAATGCATTAAATTGGTCTTGCCGAACAACGGCTAACGATACTCAGTAGAAGTTGGAGGTGAAAAGTGTGAGTAGAAACAGGCTCAACATGACCATCATTCATTTTATAAACAAATGGTGACCAAGATACTACAGCCGTGTGTGCAGGACAGAAAATTCTGCCGGCTTCCAGCCATGCCCACACACATAAACAGCCTTCCCTGTCAGGACAGCTCTGGTGTGGAGGGAGAAGGGGGCAAACGGCCTGCACGAGCACACGCCCTCCCCCAGGCAGGGATCCCCAGACACTGATATTATTTACACTCCAGAAAGCAAACAGCCTGTCCACAAAGAAGGATTAGGAAGCTTGAAGTGTTTTTATTCTGTACTGTTTTTTTAAAGTGTCGGTTGTCATAGATTCATCTGTATAAATAATTTTCCTGGCAACAGCAGTTCACTTTTCACTTCCCATTCAAAATCTTCAGAACTTCAAGTATTTGAATGCACTTAAAACTTTCCCCTGCTTTTGTTTTATATAATACATTCTCATGATAATTAGGTGACTCATGAAGTGAAAGAATTTCTTTTAAAAGAAAGTTCAAAATCTTTACTAGTATGCATTAGGACAAGTTAGCACTGTTTTGGCCACTAATCATTTTAACAGTATTTAGAGAAAGAAAAACACTATTTTTCTTTCATTTCTCCTGAAAGAAAGTGGGAGAAAATAGGCATATCTGTACCATTCAAAGCACAAAATAATCATTTAGAAAATAAATACCTACGGCATACCCGACACACTTTTATGTCAATTTCCTCAACTGTTTAAAAATGGCCTCAGGTGTGGCTGCGTCTCCACCTGCTTTCTGCCAGCAACCTCTGGGGCCCTTGCCCACTGAGCCTGCCTCTGCAGGGTAACTGCTCTTTGTCACTTGTCATGAAGCCTGAAGCTTGATATCCTGGGCTTCACATGCAATTTCGGAAACTCAAATGACACTACATAGACTTGCTGTAAATCTTTTTTTAGTGCAGTTTGGCAAATATCCCAAATGAAATTCAACTCTAAGTTAAAAGTATCAAACAGAGATAGAGCTAAGTGCCTCTATGACTCTCTGGGCTGCCCAGAGGCTCTGGAGAGCTGAGGAATAGCAAACCCAATTGCCCTGGCGCTGAAGGGACTGCAGGATACCTGTTGCTTTACCACAACAGAACAGTTACCCCCAGAGACAGCGCTCAGCAACCAGACTTCTGGGCTGCTGTGAAGATCTTAAAGGCCCACAACCCTTGTCCCCCCAATCCCCAAACTCAGAAAGTGGGAGTTAGCCCCCCTGTAACTCACAGTACTAAGAACAGCAAGCATTGAACACGGAAACCTGATCTCTCCTCCATCGTCCACCTCCTGGGACGCCAGGCGCTCACTTTCAGGTTCTATCTGCTGGTGGCAAGTGCACTTTGG